AGAGACAGAGACAGAGACAGAGAGAGAATTAAAGAAAATCAGCATGCACATACACATGGCCTTCATAAAGCAAGCTGAGGATGCCACCTGCTGGTTCCATGGAGGACACCCTGGAGCTACTCCCACACAGAACCCCGTGCTCTTTGGTGCTGCTGGCAGCAGCAACACTGGGTCTAGATGCCGTGAGCCACATGCAGGAGCTCAGCCAGCACTGGGCAGCTCACATGGGAGCAATCCCAGTTCCGCACAAAGCTGTTGGAGAAATACCTTGGGAAAGAGTCTTAAGGGATGGTTGGCCTTTACTAGACAGAGGCTGTACAGTCCACTGGTCTGAGGCCCCCTTAGGAAGAACTGATGTGCCCAGTGTCCAGATCCTCCTTCTCTGTCCTTAGCTACAGAATCTCAGAAGAAGGTGGAATCTTGGCCATGGCTTGGCTCTTTCTCGTCCATGTGAGGAAGCAGAGGCTCAGTGAGGTCACCCAGTTGACTTGTCCAAGGTCACCCCTTCCTCTAGATCTCCAGTACAGCTACTACCTGTGTCTGATTTCTGTGTGATTGTACTCTTACCAGAGGACAGCTGTGTCATTGACCCTAGAGAGTTTAAACTCTGTGAAGAAGCAAACAGAAGTGCCTGTGTGCTCCATTGCCTGGGGAAGATTTCCTGGAGTGACAAATGAATGGCCCCTTGGCATGTGACACTTCAAAAAACAGAGGGAGGGCCGGGGAGATAGCTCAGTAGAAGAAGTTCTTGCCTGACAAGCGCAGGGTCCTGAGTTCAATCCCCGGTACCAAAAACAAAAAAAAAAAAAAAAAAACACAGGGAGCTGGATCAGTGTGCATCAGGCTCAGGCCTTGGGGCTGCACCTGCTCTGGAGCCTGGCTCCACCACCTCTGGACACATGTTCCTGATGAGTGCTTTGCCTCTCCAGACTTCTGACCCTCCTCTGTAGACAGGTGACAATATGTCCCAGCACGAGGTAACAATAGAGCTGGACAAGAATGAATGCCACATGCCTTGCACAAGTCTAGCACAGTTGAACTTGCCCATGATGATCCATGAGGTTCATTCCTTTTATTATTACTCATGGCTACAGAGAACAAAAACTGCAAGAGGGCCTCGGTATTAGCATGTCTTCTTTCTTCCAACTCTTGCCACACAACCCTACCCCTCCCAACATCCATGGTCCCCTGCCAGCCCCTTACCCTGCAGAGGGTCTGCTGCCTCAGCTCCTGGATGATGAGGTCACTGGCAGCTGCACGGCCGTAGCAGCATCTGGAGTTCACAAAGCTGAGGAGGGCCTCCCGGGCTACCGCCTCCGTAATCACAGGGACTCTGCTGAGAGGGGCAGAGAGGCAGGGGTCTGTCTGAGAAGGGCTTGTGGGCTTATGCAGGCCAGGCCCTCAGAGCCCAACTGGGGAAGGCACGTTTTGTAGAGGGACCGATGCCAGGACAAGAAGGTAAAAGCTTGTTGGGGGGAGAGCAAAAGCATGGTAGATCAAGTGTGTAGCTTAGGAGACAGATGACTCAGACACCAAAGCCAAGGGGCTGGCAAGATAGCTCAGCAGACTAAAGCACCTGCTTAGGGAAGCTTAGGCAAGCTCAGGGACCAGGGTTCAATCCCCAGCACCATGTGCCAAGCCAGCCTCCCTCCCATGGCAGGCTGAGTTGGCCATAGCCCAGGTGTGTTGGCACACGCCTGTAATCCCAGCGCCAGGGAGGCTGAAAGCAGGAGGATCACTATGAGTCT